CGCGGGGCAGGGGTCGCGAGAGGCGCCGAGCCGGCCCGGCCCGCGGGATGCGGCGCCCGGGGGCAGCGGGTGCGGGGCGCTGAGCTCGGCGGGGTCCCCGGCGCCATGCGCCGCTCCAGCACGGACGAGTCCACCTACCGGCGCAGCCCGTCGCCGGAGGGCAAGGAGCCGGGCTTCGCGCGCGGCGGCCCCTTCCGGCGCTACAGCAGCCTGTACGGGCGCGGGGAGGGCGGGGACGGCGGCGGCCCCTTCTTCGGCCTGCACGCCAACCCCGGCCCCAAGGCGGCCCAGGCGCGCTACACGTCGCCCAAGGGCACCAAGTACGTGGTCTTCTACCTGGACCTGTCCTTCATCTTCCTCCTAGAGCTGAAGCGCTGCGGCATGGCGCGCGGCTGCCTCCAGGGCGTCAAGTACCTCATGTTCGCCTTCAACCTGCTCTTCTGGGTGAGTGGTGGCGGGCCCGGGCGCCGGGGGCACATTGGGGGCCTGGCGTTGGTGGGGGGACCAGGGGAGAACCTAGAGTCGCTGCTCGGGTGGGACACGCGGGACGTAGACTGAGGGCGGGGGTCCCCCCCGGGTTGCTGCTCTGGCTGGGGGCCAGGGCTGGACTGGCCAGCGGGGGGCGTTTCCTGTCCGCGGGGTGGGGGTGGGGGGAGCCGAGCCTCTACACTCTGGGCGGCTGCCCCATGTCCTCTCCCCTCTTTTCCTGAGACGGGGTGTGTCCCGGTCCTGGTGCCTGACAGGGCAGCCCGGGCCACTGAGCCGCACCTGCCACAGGTTCGAGTCCTGGTCTGTGTGCCAGTGCCTCCCTCCTGTCCTCTCCCCCGCTCCCTCCACCAAGCGTGCAGACCTGTTGGGCCCCGGAACCGGCTTCAGAGGAGCTGTGGGGGCAAGGGGTTCCCAGTCTCCAGAAGTTCTGTGGCTGGGCCAGACACTGAGCAGGACTGTGGGGCAAGCGGGGCCCCCGCGAGTGTGTGGGGTGTCCCACCCTCCTGCTGCCTCCTTCTCCAACAAATTTTTGCTCAGACAGGAGGTGCCTGTGTCCAGGGTCAGAGGTACTGGTGCTACAGGGTGGCTCCTACCCCCCAAGATCGGGGGTAGAGTTGCCACCCAGCCCCATAACTGCAGGGAGGGTGGTGGGCCGTGGCTGTGACAGGTGTCACACGTGACCAGGTCGCAGCACTCCTGGCCAGGCCTGGGCCCCACTGTTGGGGCCGGGGGTGGCTTGGTGGAGAGAGAATGCCAAGGTCACTCCCTGCTCCATCCTTTATTCCTGCGCCAGCCCTCCGTCTACAACTGGGAGTAAGGGGGCGTGGCTTCAGCTCCCGCCTGGGCTGTCGACTCCAGAAGGAGGCTGTATTTGCATGCTCATTTGCATGCAGTCCAGTTAAGGCTAACCGCTCGGAAACCTAGGTCCATCTTCCATCCTGGGCCCTGGCTTTTCTCTTCTGCCATTTCGGGGGCGGGGGAGTAAGAAGTCACTGGGAGGGCCAGCTAGACTGGGCTCAAGCGTGGGAGTGTGACCCAAGGAGGCTCCTGCCCCAGATGCCTGCTTCCAGAGGGGTCACCCCAAGAGTTTGCTCTCTGCAAGGGGCTTCTGGAATGGGAGGGGCCCAGGCCCATGGTGGAGGACTACCCCAGAGACCAGGACCCCGAGCAGAGGTGGGTGCAGCTGGAGTTCCGAGCAGGCATGTGAAGAGGAGAGGGACATTGACCAACTGCAGTGGGCAGTGGGACCAGAGCTGGCAGCCACAGGTGTTGCTGTGACCGTGTTGGGTGGTGTAGGTGGCGGACTGACTGGGAGGCAGTGGGAATGAGGGATGGTCAGGTGCCGGGAGGTGGGCAGAAGCTGCTGCTTTCCTCACCTGCCCTCCTCAGTGACCTGGTCACTTGCCTGCAGGAGGCAGGAGCGGGCCCCTCAAAGGGGCCTGTGCTCTGCAAGCAGCCCAGCCGCATGGGTCTTCAGGCAGAGGTCTCCGCCCGTGGACCCAGCAGGAGTCTCCCTGCTAGCTTCTGGGCCAACAGGCTCTGCCACTCCACCGCAAACGGACAAATTCCCGTCCCCTCCCCGCCCTGAAAATCCAAGTCCCTCTTATTACCCAGTTACACCTCCCAGCCAAGCAAATGGGGCCCCTGCCGCTGGCCTCAGCCCCTCCCTGCCCCAGCGTGCTGCCCAGCAGGGGTCAGAGACCTGGGGGTCGGTCCGAGGGGAGGCTGGGTGTGACATCCACTGCACCTTGTCCCTGTGCCCGTGTCAACTAAACCCTCCCTGCTGGTGACAGAGGCTGCAGGGTGGGAGCGGCTAGAACACTCTTTCCCTGGGACTGGCTCCTTTGCTGTCTGGTGGTGCCGGCACCCTACAGGAGGGGTTGTGTTTGCCCCCCACTCCACTTTCCACTTTCACTGCCAGACCAGAGGACAGAAGGCCACCCCCCTCCCGGTGCCCTGCCTCAGTCTCCCCACTGGAGCTGACCATAGGGTTGGGGCTGAGGTTGTGGGAGGGGAGTCCCGGTGGGCTGGACCTCAAGACCCTCGTCTGTCAGTCCTCTGACCCCACCCAACAGGGCCAGGCCAGCTACATGCTGGGCCAGCATGGAGGTCACTGCCCAGAGCTGGGGTTGGGGTGGGGTGGGAGTGGTCGGTGCAGCAAGGAGAGGGGGCCGGGTGGGCATGAGAGCGCCGCCCTGTGCTCCTGCTCCGGCTTCAGGTGCAGTGACGCGCTTGCTCCTGCGCGCTGCCGTCACCGTAGTCTCCTGTCCCCCAGCCCCTTGCTTTCAGGATTTGCCTCAGCTCCTCTTCTCCCAGAGGTGGGCCTGGAAAGGCCCTCACACTGACAGCTGGACCTCAGGCACCTGCACACCTGGCTCCCTGGTTGGAGCTTGAAGCAATGCCACCTCCCCTCCCCACCCTAGTGTAGGGTGGGCCCCGGCCCAGGGCGCCTCTGGCTGGGCCGCAGTCCATGACTCGGCCTGGGAGCAGGAGCGGCTGGCTCAGGAAAGAATTGAGTCTCATTGGTGGCCTGTTTGGTGGGTTTCTCCTGGGGGCTCCTGGACAGGGTCTGGGAGGGCAGGAAAGTGTCGTCACCCGCCTGTCCTGGGGTTAATGTGCCAGCTCATCTCAGGGGCGGAAACAGGCCTGCCCTGTTACCACCTGTGCTTGGAGCTGGGGTGCCCTGGGACTGGGAGCCAGGAAGGCCAGTCCACATGCAGGTGGGTGGCGGGTGTGAGGGTTGGGCCCCTCAGAGTTCAGAGCCGACAGGCTCCCAGACCCACACCTGCCCTTCTGCAACAAACAGACCCTCGGGACAACCTTTTTGGGGACAGTTGCCCTCTGAGGCGTGCACAGGTGGTGGGCAGCTTAGGGCCAGGACTGATTCTGGGGAGCGCATGGTGGTGGAGAGGGCCATGCATGGGGCCTGGGATGGAGGTTGGGGGCTGTGCAACCCCCCAAGGAGCCACTTGGTTCAGGCCTCCTGGTCAAGCTCTTCCTTAGTGGCGAGAGGTGGAGGCCCGGGTGTGGGGGACGGAGGAGGTGCTCTCCCCGCTCCGCCCCTGCTCTGGTCGGAGCTCAGGGCTGCCCAGGGGCAGTCTGGGAGGTCTGGCGTGGTCCTGGGGTGGACCTGGGTGGAGGCAGGGCTGAGCTCAGTCGGGCGAGGGTGCTCTGTGCCCCCACCCGTGGCCAGGTGGCGAATCGGGCTTGTCAGGCCTCTGTGTGGATAGAACTTTCTACATGTAAAGCAGAGGTAGAGTAGGCTACAGGCCGGGTGGGGGCTGTCTGGGGCACAGATATGGCCTCGGCTGCTCAGGGGGACTCAGAGGTCAGGAGTTCTGTGCTGTGGCGAGGTCCCAGGTCCTAACTGCACCCCGCCGTCCTGGGCCATGGCCCCATCTCCCTGCCTGTGAGAGGGCATTGGGCTTGCTCTCCCCTCCTTCCCTGCCCTGAGGATCGAGCCAGTGAGGTGCTGCCCTTTGGGGCTGGGCCTGCTGGCGACCCCCCCATCCACTCCCAAGCAGCCCTGCTGTGGTCCTTGCCTCTCCCCTGCACGCCCCTCTCCCCCTACCCCTCCTTGGACACTGGCCTCGGGGTCGTTGGTCAGTGGGACTGTCTCCCCAATGGGCCAGGTCCGGTCTCCTCATCTTTAAGCTTTGGGAGCATGTGGAGGGCTCCCGGGGTCGGGGATGGGTGAACAGGACCCATGAGGACATGGGGGCTGGCTGGCGTTTAAGAAAATTAATGCTAGTCAGTTGCATAGATTTTAAGTGGACAGTGTGGAGTTGTCATCGCAGGAACAATATCTGGTAGGGAACAATTCCATCAGCCTGGAAGGCACCCCCAGCCACTTCACCCAGTCCCTCCAAACCCACTGTGGGCAGCTGCTGACCTGATTCCGGCGTGGCAGACAAATTCTCCCATTTTCAAGCTTGGTATAGATGGGCCCCCCATGACAGTTCTTGGCTGGGAGGGGTGCATCACCCCACCATGCTCAGCTCCCACCCCGGGGCTGTGCCGGCTGCCAGGTGGGCTTCTGGGCACAGGCGTGGCCCCTGCAGGTACCTAGCCCTCCACCCCATTCCAAGGACGTGGCCAGCTGCCCAGCCATCTGCCACACTGAGCTGTGTGGCCAGAGGGGCAGTGGCAGAGGGCCAGCTGGCACCTGCCTGTCGTGGGCCTGGAGGTGATGGCATCGCCCAACCATGCCCTGGGCCAACCTGAAAAATACACGGATGGGGAAAGAGATGGCAGGAGAGGCAGCGTGACCCGGGCACCGGGTGAGGGCAGCCGCCAGGGCGCGTGACAGGGAGCCCCAGCTGATGGCAGGGCTGGGACGGAGACCCTGACCAGTGGGCTGACCTCTTCTCCCAGGCTGTCATGGGGTCAGTGTCTGCTCCTGGGCCCCCTGGGCTTCTGCCTGGCTGGGGAGGGGCGTTCAGCTAGTGCCCTAGGCAGTGAGCGAGGGGCCGGACAGGTGGTAGGGTTGGGGTGGGGCCCCGATCCTGACCCAGGAGGGGCTGGAGCTCCGGCGTCTCGGGGCCTCAGCCCCATTCGTCCTGTGTTTGATGCTGTGTCTGAATGTAGTGGGGCCCATTTTCTCCTTTACTTGGAGGCTGCAATTTTCCTGCCAAAATGTTTTAAAAGCTGCATGGGCAGAAACATTTCTGAATTACAGGTGATTTTATTAAGCACGTGCCTGCATTTTGTTAGCGTGTGTCTCTGAGAGTTTTTGTGACTGTTCTGTGTACATGTGATTGAATGTGGAGGGGCCTGGGGTCTTGTGGGGACTTGTGACGAGGGACGGTGTGTGCATTGTTGTGCGTGACACCGTGGGATGGTGAGCGGTGTCTGACCGCATGGGTGGGCTGTGTGTCGGTGTTACGGTGTGTGTGATGGCGTGCATCTGGGTGACAGCCAACGGGTGTCTCTCTCGCCATCATTTCATGGAGTGTTAATTAAGGAAATACATTTCTACCATGGCTGGCGGTGATAGCCCACCCCTCCTGGGCCCCCCACCGCCCACAGCAGCTCTACCCGGCAGCATCCTCCCTGTGTCCTTCCCTCTGTCCCCACGGGGCAATGTCGTCTCATTTTCCTGCTGACAGGAGCCATCCACCGCCCTTGAAGGCAGAGCCAGCCTCACAGGCAGCTTGGGTTTTAAATAACAATTTCCCCCTTTACACCAGCATCTCCCCAAGAGGCAGCCCCACCCACTGTGGCTGGGGGCTCAGCCACGAATCCTGACCCACTGAGTCACTGTGTCCTCTGGCCAGAGAGGGCCTGACTTCCAGCTTCCTTCAGAGAGGCGGCCCCCCCCCTCCCCGCCCCCTGCCCCAGGGCTGGGCAGAGGCCAGGCGAGCCCTCCCTGTGTGTGGGGGTCTGTGTGGTGGTATTTCTGCTTTCAGTGCCCCACTGGGTACTAGCTGCAGCCTCATCCTGGGGTCCTTGGAGATCCCCTAAGACCCAGAGGAGGTGGGGGCCAGGTGCTGGGTGTCCTGATGGGCATGGGGGAGGAGCACAGCCGGGGCAGCCCTTCAGCTCCCCGTTTCCTCTTCTGCTGGTTGGGCAAGAGGATTAAATGAGACGGCACCTGTCCCACCTCCTCTGTGCCCCGTGATGTCACAAGTGGCACCTCCCACAGGCAGGCTCAGGGTGCCCAAGGTGCTGGTGGCCCCGCCTCGCTTCGTCTTGGTGGCCTTGCCTGTGGTCAGCACTGTGGAGAGCACCGCCTGGCTGCTGGTGGGGGCCCACGTCCACCCCACCCTGCAGGTGGGGGGCACACACCTCTCCCTACAGCCAGCAGACCCCACCATGCCCTGGGGCTGTGCCCAAACCCAGCTCTGAGGTGAGGATGGCTCAGGGAAGTGGGGCGTGTGCATGCCCAGGGTGCGTGCCAGGTGTCTCCAATTAGAGGGTCCTGTTCCCCCTCTGGGCAGCCTCCCCCAGCCCCCCGGCCTCCAGAGCCTCATCAGCACTGAGCTTGGTCAGGAGACACACTGACTGCTGGCTGGGCCGCAGTCCATGACTAGGACTGAGCTGGACACTGCCGAGGCCTCTCAGTTCCAATCCTGGCAGCAGGCAGAGGCACTTGTCATCCATGGTGGCCCCTCCGGGAACCGCCAAGGCCGTGCGGTCAGTGTCAGGGTCCCCCCGACCTGGGGCCCGGACAGGCACGATGGCCCTGGACCAGGGACAGAGGAACCCCATGTGGGGCCCCAGCACCCGGTCGCTGTTTAGCAGCTTCCCAGGCCCCGCCCTGAGCTGGCCGCACCAGCAGAGGTGTTTATAGTTTTCAGACAGAAGCTGTTGTTTCTCGTGGAAGGTGCAAACAGGGCAGGTATGGTCTGGCTTGGGCTGACGGGGACCCCCTCCCCATTGTGCTCTTGTGCCCAGCCTGGGCAAGGCCCAGAAGGACCCCAGACGCAGAGGACGCTGGCCAGAGCCCCGTGTGCACGTTCTCAGTGGCCACCCACACCCCTGTGGCCAGGGATGACCGAGGCTGGGGAACGGGAAGGGGGAGACCCCCAGGGCCTGCAGGGCCGGCTTGAGCTGAGGGGTCCCTGTCAGGGTGGGGACCCCAGGCCTGGGGAACCAGGTCGGTGCGGAGCGGGGTATGGCCAGCTCCTCAGGGCTGGCTAGGCGGGTAGCTCATCTCCCAGCCTCAGGGGCTGTGAGTCTGGCTGTGGACACTGGGGAGACTTCTGGGGGGTGATGCGGGGCTCATGGTGGCCCTGGGTGGACACGGTGTACCTTGGAGCCTGGTGGCCCAGCCTGTCCTGGAGCGCGCAGGGTGAGCACTCTGAGGGGTTGGACTTCGAGCCCAGCAGTTTTCTGTGGCCGAGGCCAGATGGCCAGGAGGCTCCTGGGCCTGGTCAGGGCACAGGGTCCCACATTCTGTCCAGTCCCAGCGTGGGGTGGGCCCCCAGGGCTGCCCGGCCTTCCCGAGAGCCCATCAGCCATCGGTACTCAGGTGGTCTTCTGAAACCCAGACTGCCATGGGACCAGATACTGGTCAGCATTTGGGGGGTCTGCATGCCCCCACATCCTCCCATTTCATCCTGGGATGACCCAGAGCCCAAGGCCTCATGTCTCAGGGTTGGGGCGGGAGCCCCTTGGCCAGCCCCAGCCACCCTTGGCTCCCCAAGGCCAGGCGACCCTGTCACTACGCAAGGCTGAGAGCCCCCTCTGGCTTCATCGCCGCCTTGCCTTCTCCCTTTTCTCCTCTTATTTTAATTGACTTTTGTAATAACGACAGTTATGAAATTCAATAAAGGCTCCAGTGGTTGCCGGGCAGTGAGGCCGGGTAGTGGGCTCTCTGCTCCATTCCTGCACCGCCACCTTCGTGGGGCTTGCTCAGTAGGGGACAGCTGGGGACGCCTGCCGGGCTTGTGGGGCTGGTGTGTGGAGTTCTCGGGCCACCCATGGGGAGCCAGCTTTTGGAAGAGCGAGTGTGTAGGGTCCTGCTGAGGCCTCTGAGGTGGGGTCTCTCTGAGCTGCTCAGGGCCAGAGGCGGCTGGGCTGTACCCACCATGAGGGCACCACGGCAGGCAAGCTGCAGGCTGGGTTCTGGGGGCAGAGGGGGCACTGCTTGTAGGGGGTGATGTTTGGGGGGAGCCCTGGGGCCCCCTGCCCAGGCTGTCTTAACAGAGCCTCTTTCATGACCCCGGTGGTGGAGCGTCCTCAGACCACCCCTTCCCCGCCAACCACAGCATGACCAAGCTGTAGGTGTGGGACCCTGGTGTCCGTCACTGTGCATCGGGGATGGCTGTAGGGGGAACCAGCCTGGGTGTCAGGACAAGGCTGAGAGGGGCACGCGGCCCTGGGAGGTCAGCGGGGCCCACCCCGGACACCACCCTGGGTGGCTGTCCCTAGGGTCCAGGGTGGCGACCTGACTGCCCCTTTCCCTCCACCCGGTGGTCCCAGCTGGGAGGCTGCGGCATCCTGGGTGTTGGCATCTGGCTGGCTGCCACACAGGGGAACTTCGCCACCCTGTCCTCCTCCTTCCCGTCCCTGTCGGCCGCCAACCTGCTCATCGTCACCGGCACCTTGGTCATGGCCATCGGCTTCGTGGGCTGCATCGGGGCCATCAAGGAGCACAGGTGCCTGCTGCTCACCGTGAGTGCGGGAGAGGCCCTCGGGGTGGGGCACGGGCTCCCGACACAGGGTCTTCCAGGCCAGGCGGGGCCTGGGGCGTCGGGTGGGGGGCTTCCCTTGACAGGACAGGGACCCGTGTGCACATGTGTGCGAGGCAGGGCCCCTCCGGCCTATACTGGGCCTGTTTTCTCAGCCCGTCCCTCCCAGCTGCTGTCCCAGGCCTCGCAGCCTCTGTTGAGAAGCTCCTAGCTCGGCCGTGGCCTTGGAGAAGGGTGTCCTGTTCTTGGGAGTGTTGGTCACAGAGAATCCAGAGGGGAGAGGACCCCTGGGCCAGGCTCCTTCCTATTAAAATGCCGGTGGACCCCTCGGAGCGAGGCGGAAGCTGCAGTGTGTATAGGGCTCCGACCAGGTCTTTCCCCTGGGTGGGCCCCGTGTCCTGGGCCCAGACTGAGGGACAGCAGATCGGGGACCCCGGAGAGGATGGGGCCCATTTCCCTGCCCCCCACTTGTCCAGGCTCAGCCGCGTCCCCGTCAGCCCTCCTTTCCGGGGGAGTGATGTGAGGGAAAGGCGGGCCAAGCCAGGCTGCCACCTCTGCTCAGCTTGACCCAGGGCACCAAGGGCCAGGTCAGGGCTGTGCCTCTGGGGACGCTGAGTGGGGGCTGCCACCCGGCAGGCAAGGTTTGTGCAGAGGTGGGGCTTCTGCTTGGGTGGCGGTCCCCCACCTTGGTCTTGCCTGAGCTGACACTGGCCACCCTGAGGAGTGTGGCTGGGGACTGGGGTCACTGCCAGCTGATTCATCCCCTGGCATCGCCTCGCCCTACTGCCCAACCCAGGGACCCAGGCACGGAGCACAGGCGTCCACTCGCAGGCCTGAGGCCTGGGCTCTGCAGGGCGAGCAAGACTAGACGGAGCCCAGGGGTTCCAAGGGAGGTGGGGGGGCCGGGGGCTGGCGAGTCACTGAGGCCTGTCCCCTCCGCCCCCAGTTCTTCGTGATGCTGCTGCTGGTGTTTCTGCTGGAAGCCACTGTCGCCATCCTCTTCTTCGCCTACACTGACAAGGTACGGCCACCTGTGCCCACCCATCCTCACCACCAGGCGAGGGGCTGTGACACTGCAGGTGACGATTGTGTGGGCGGGTTGGAAACGGCTGTCACAGATGCTGCGCTTGGTGTGGACGACAGCAGCCCTGTCATCTGACTGACGGGGGCCCAGAGCCGAGGGTTAGGTTCTACCCACAGAGTCCGGGGCCAGGCCTGGGGGCGCCGGTAGGAGGCCGCTCATGCTGCCCTCGGCTGTGCCTGGTTGACAGGGAGCCTCCTCACCCCGTTCGGTCCTTGGTTTGCACCAGCGAGGGCTCGTTGAGCGTTAGTCTGTGGGTTGTAATCCGAGACATAGTTTTTGCTCATCCGTCTGCTTTGCTCTGGGAGCTCTTGCAGCTCACTCCTGTGTCTCCTTGGCACGCCCCCCAATGCGCTTTTTGGGGAGCACTTTTTTTCTGGCGCTAGGAGCCGCTCCAGGCCCATCCTGGGCATTTGCTGCCAGCACTGTGATCAGCCCTTTCTCCTAGGAGCCCATGGTCGTAGGGACTGCGACCTGGGCACTGCCCTGGGGTGTCAGAGCTTTGAGGCCCCTCAGCTACCCCCCGGGGATGTGTGTGCCCCGACCATGGTGTGCAGACACAGCTCTGAGTACTGGGTACCTGCCTCTCGGTGTCTGGCCTATCCAGTGCTCAGCACCACGGGTGGCCCAGGGAGATGCAGGGCTTCTGGGAGGAGGGGACTCAGGGAGGGGACAAAGGGTGGGCTAAGGAGCGGGGATGTCCCTGCTCAGTTGTCGGCATCTGCAGATCGACAGGTATGCACAGCGAGACCTGAAGAAGGGGCTGCACCTGTACGGCACCCCGGGCAACGTGGGCCTCACCAACGCCTGGAGCATCATCCAGACAGATGTGAGGGGGGGGCAGG